CGCCATCCCGCTCCGCAACTCCCTCCGGGGCGGGCAGAGCCGGTCCTTCTGGAACTTCGCCACCGCAGCTCCGGGACTCGGTGCTCTGCGCTACCCAGGTCTCTGCCGTTTCCCAAGGCAGAAAGGGCGGCAGGGAATGCCCGGGCACGGCCGGGCCGGAGCCATCCCAAGCACGGTGGCCCCTGCGGGGTTCCCATGAGGCGCAAACGTGCCGGTTAAATAATCCAGACGTGCTGGGCTGCGCAACGCTTCGGGAGGAACAAAAACAAGGACGGGTGGGAAAGGTACCAGTAAAGGTGCAGCTTTAATGGCGGCCCGCAGTGGAGCAGAGCTCTCCCGGGGCGGTACATGACATGGAGAATGCAGGGCGCCTGCAGTCCCGGGGGGGCTAGCTGGGAGCGGAGCCGGGCGCTGTGGAGTTGCTCTGAAGAAAGAAGGCGGAGAGCTCGCTCAGCGCTCTGTAACGGTGCGAGATTGAGTTCTTCACTGCCTTGGGCAGTTCGGCGTAGCTGGAGGGGAGGGAAACCACAAGTCTCAGCAGCAGAGATGCTACAGCACACGTCCCCCCAGACACAGAGAGCTCTCACTCGACTACACAGCAGGGGCATCTGTAGTGACACGTTGGCAAAGCCAACAGCCCCCATCCTGATCTGGGAGTTCCCCATAACCCAGCACATTCAGATCTAGGAGGGTGTTTTCTCCTTGCCACCCTTCCTCGTAAGCCGGTTCCTCTCTACACACAACCTTGACCCCGGCTTTCCTTACATAAACAGCTGTAGGTAAAACACCACTTACGTCTGGTTGTAGCCATCTGGCTGAAAGCAGGGATCCCAGCCAAAATCTCGAGGGCCTCTGGGCTCCACTATCAGCCCCTGCCACGAGATGGCAAAAAAGACCCATAAGCCGTGGTTTTGCAGCACTTCCCTCACAGTCGTCTTTCGAACACAGACTGAGGAGCTACACACAGCCATCGCTCACGCTGTGGCTGCCACAGGCTCAGTGCGTGGTGCTGTCCTCCTTCCCAGCACCTCCCCAGTGCTGCATCACGCTGCACTATGTTGACAGCCCCTTTAGCCCCCCCCGCCTCTATTAACAGAGGTGGTAACAACTGCACTGAAATACAACCCTGCCAGAGGGAGATGAGGGGGCTGAAGAGCCTGAGGTAACGTGCAAAGTGTTCTGTATGCACAGCTGGGCAGAAGGGCTGCAGCATTCAGCACCCACTGCCCCCCAGCTGCGCTCTCCCTCTGCATGTTCCCAACAAGCTCCAAGGGTGTTCAGTGACCCAGGAGCCACTAAAATGGTCCTCAATAGAGCCAATGCTGTTACGAAATTGACATTACAGCCTCCCCCCCACTCAGCATCTTCCCTTCCCCAGGCACAACACCTACATGAGTCTGGCCTTTGAACAGCTTCACTGGCTCCTCTGGGTTTCCAGTACTGAATGCAAAAGTACAGAGAGCATAGGCAGATTTGTCTTCAAACCCAGCCAGCAGCTTGTACAGGCCTGAGCGACACAGAAAGGATCCCGGCGTTACTGCCTCTCCCTCGGAGTGCAACACGCCCACCTAGAGATGGATCGAGGGAGCATTCTGCATTCACATTGACAAGGGAGAGGAAGAACTACAGGAGGTGACAAAGCTCGGGCACAAGGATGCTCTTGGCACAGTCCCTTGCATGACTGAAGCCAGCACCTCATATCTAACACAGTGTGAGCTGCAGGGCCCCGCTATTAATTTAGGAGTGGAAGCAAGCAAGCATGCAGCACCAGAGAGGACTAAAGCCCACTCTGAATTAGCGTGATTAACGCTCATGATGCCAGTGCAGGATTTGCAGTCACACTCTTTAAGTGCAGGATCAAAGGCAGTCACTGCACAGCAGGGGAGGTGAGCATCAGTGGAGAGGAGTTTGCACAAAAGCCAAAGGGTCTTCCAGGTCACGCTGATGACAAACAAGAAGTTCCCACAAGCCCTGCCACCAGCCTGCAGAGGCAGGTGTCTGGGAATCTAGGGATGCAGGGATGATGCTGAAGCTACCGAGGGAAAATAACATCCAGTGAAAAAAGGCACAGAACAGGTTCAAGGAGAGAAGCTGAAGGGACAGAGCTGGACAGACCAGAAAGGAACCACCTATGAAACGGGCAGCGAGGTGGGCAAGCATGCTCAGCAGAACCCAGCATGGGCAAGGATTCATTTCATTTGGAAAGAACCGAGTTACACGCAGAGCAGTAACATGGGAGGCAGTACCTTCTGGTTTGAGTTTTTCCAGGAACCATTTTCTGAAGGGAAAAGAAGAAAAGAGGAAAAATGAATTTTTGCTATTATTTCTCAGAAATACAGGCATCCTTGAGGCATTGTTGTCTACATTTCCATAGCCTTTTGAATCCCTCTTAAAATGTGCTGTCAAATCACCTCATTCTGGGCTATTTACCAACAAAGTCAACTTAGCTCTTAAACTGAATGAGACACAGTGAAAACAACAGTGGGGTATTTAATTTACTGCAGTACTGGGGTCTATGTAAATAACCCAGTTCCTACTCGTGAGCAATAACATGGTGAAATACATTTCTCAAGTCAACTTGTTTACATCTTACACCCAGTTCTAGTGTGAACTTAATCATATAAAGCTTTTATGTCTCTGCTTGGCTCAGCGGAGATAGTTTGGAGAATTAATTACACCAAAAGTTAATCCCAGGAGCTAAGGCAGTATTTTACTATAGGATTTACACTGCAATGTAATAATCTTGTTATCTGCTGGATTAAAGCATCCCTGTGAGAACCTATAGGACACTCATCCCAGAGTCCTGTGGAAATGCGTGATGCCTTAACTACACAGAGCCTGCTGTGGGGCCAGGTTCCCAGGCTGGCTGCAAGAGCAGGCACCATAGGTGGGGAGATTCAGGTCTGTCTCTTTCGTCCAGCACCGTAACTTACAGCAGGGCTCAAGGAGTTTAAGACCAGCCCCTAGGGTGCAGGACGAAGCTGAGGACACAGACCAGTAATCACCTCTCTAATTCTATTGCTCCTGGCGCATGGATAATCTCCCATGAAACACACCCTGCCAGCCTGCGTTCCTAACTCTAGGACATGAAAAGTGAAGCAAGTTCCCTCCTACTTACATGTATGGTCCTGGAAGCCCCCCCAGGGCATTGAAGCACAAGCAGGTATCCTCGACTATAACAGGTCCCCGAACCTACAGCGAAAGCCCAAGAGATGGGAACATTAGACCTAGAGGATGGCACTGCCTCCAAACCCAGTTTCTTGCTCTATTCTATTGCCATGCTTCTATGATAACAGAAACATTACGAAAATCCACCTGCCACTAGAGCTCTTCACCTCAGAGGCAATCCATACCAGCCAGACACAAGCAAACCCATGCTCTTGCCAGGCAGGCAGGAGTAGCTGAAGCATGGTGGGCAAGATCTTTCATGGAGAAAACCGAGCAGAGCTGAATACCCCCTGCCCTCTTGGGTAAAGGAATGGACAAGGAGAGAGAAAGCTTGTGTCCTGGAGGCACGTTTGCATTTTCCTTGAGTTCAAGCCCTCATTTGGTTCTTTTAAGATGGCTATCCCAGAGACAGCTCTGGAAGGTAATCCATCAGAAGCTTCGGCTGATGGAAAACTCAGTATCCCACAACCACTGGAGCTGGACTGAAGTAGCTGTCATGTCCTCCTGCTGCTCGAGGGACACATGAGGCCAGAGGAGCAGCAGCGGGACTGCCTAAACACTATGTCACCAGTGAGAATTCACCATCACCCAGCATAGGCTAGAAACAGCCGGCTGACGGGAGTGCAGCGAGGCCACGCCAGGCCCGGACACATCCCCGAGCTTCCTCTGGGCCGGGTCAGATGCCCCGCTGGGGCCGGGAGTCCCTCGGAGGTCCCGCACCCACACCACTGCTCCGACCAGCGGGAAAAGAGAAAGCGAGCGACCTGCCGGGCGGCTTCACGGCACTTCTGCACGGAGATCTCGTCCGGCTCCCCCTGGTACTCCGGCACTGGGGACACAAAGGCCAGCGCTGAGGAGACGGCGGGGCCGAACCGGGCCGCCCCTC